TGGCGATCTGAGGAACAGTATAACCAGAAGAATCGGGAGGCACAATAATCTTGAGCGTTGGTGAGGGGACACAATGTTGACGAGGTTTGACATTGTCTTTGCAAAGCTTCTTCTTCTTCAGGGCTTCGGAGGAATCCACCACTGCGTACATCCAACGTATACATAAAAGTTACAATGTATCATGTACGAATGGATTTACCTGCTTCTAACAAGGTCAAAACAAAGGCAGAGACAATTCCAACCAAGAACCTAAAGAGAAGAAATCTCACATGGTTTATATATACATGATATAAACATTAAAAAAATTAGTCTATGATTGCAGCACTCTTTGGATAGTCTCTCAACCAAACCATATGGGACACAGTCTTTAAGTTTAATCATATTGAACTCCACTGAAGGAAGACTACATTCATCTTTCAATGAAAACTGTATGAGGGCAAAGCAGCAACAGTTCTCATCTGAAGCAAGCTTACTGCTGGACACAGCAGAAAACCAAACAAAAAAAAAAAGAAGAAGAGGAAACTTGTGATTTAATTCTTGGCATAATGGGCAAAATCTCGTTTCTGTAGAAAATGTCAATAGATCAAGTTTGGGTTTTCATGTCTGAATAAGGCACCTGATTTTGCAGGCATCATTTCAAAAATAACATTGGAAATTCTCTAAAACCAAGTGCAATGTGGGTCTTCTCAGCTGAAAGCTGGAGTGCGATGGAGATGATTTACACCAAAGTATCAAAGTTTCTTTTCCCCGCTTGTGCTCATTGGTTTGAATAAAGACAGCGAGACCATTCTTCTGCCCCGATGTTTGTTGCAAAAGCTCCATGAAAATCAATTTAGCAAGGTTAGCATGCACAATAGTCATGCCGTGTATATGCAAACATATCCATGGTTTCAAATATCATATCTAAAGGGATCATAAATGGAACATTTACAAGCAGCTGGAGTCATGATACGTAGGAATGCATGTTCTGCTGCTAAACCTCGAAGCGCTATCACCTAAAAAGCTCGAAGGTCTTTTCTACTTTTGAAGAACACACAAGTTGAGACGATTACACAAGATACAGAGTAACAAAATGCACAGAATGGTAAAATGATTCATCATCAAGGGTCCATTAAACAACAGCGAACAAAAAAAACAAAAAAAAACTACAACATTCAATAGGTTAAATACATTGGAAAGAGCATGTTTATTTAGCAACAATAAGACAGGCCGCCTTCCGTGAAATGCTTATCAAAAGATTTCTCAGCTTAGTCACCAAGTTGTTTACCATCGATAACCACTATTACAATATTATTTTTTTAAAAATACACGTGCTGTAAACTAAAGCAACATCCTGTCTTTCTACGGAGTGAAACCTGCATAGTGCACCAATAAGAGTAATCGTTCTTGTACATAGCAAACGCATATCTACACAAACCATTGGAAAGGAAAGGTGTAAGGTGCGCTTGTTTGAATGCTCTTGAGTATATACTGTAGCCATTTTAGAAGGATTCAAAGCGAGTTATCCATTGAGATCAAACTGTGTTTGATGAATCCGCGGTATAAAGATAGTGGCATAAGATCCATCTCTCGATAAATAATAGTTTACAATATAAAAGTCATTGCTCGTAGCTTGAATGTAACAGGGAATGATCTTTGATTCTCTATACAATTTTAGAAACATGATTTAGCAGCTTTGCATCCAAAATTATTGAATCATCAACAATATGCAGACAATAAAAACAATCAATCAATCAAAGAATGGATGTAATAGCTAGCTTAGTCTTTTTTTTCAGGATATTTTCAGCATCTCAAGGTATGGGTGATTCAAAAAAAAAAAACTAAAGCAAACTAAAAGACCACGCAAATTGTTCAGAAACAGAAAGCTACAATATTTCCCTTTGAAAAAGTAATATGATGCTAAATAACTGCAAAATATATTAAATGTGTTATAAATAATGAATTATATTTACTTTTTGTGAACTGGTATTTTTTTTTTTTTACGATGCATATATCTGTTTTTGAAGGCAGAAATAATTATAAAATAATCACAATTAATTCTTATGTGACAGCCCATTATGAATGTTAATATCGAATCACACTATGAAGCAAAACAAACACACATATACAAATGTGTGCGTGTTTATACATGTGTATGTGTTCTTTAAATATCTTTCTTTATATAAAAAAAAAAGAAAGAAAAGAAAGAAAGATAAAATACTGGCTTTTTCTTTTCCTTAACTGTTTGAATGCCACAGAGTCCCCTGGTTAAAACACTAAACTGCACAGCTCACAACATCATGTTGAATGCGAGAGCTTGCGACAGCACACTACGATAACTACCAAACGCTCTCAAAACAGCACGGAAGGACAACATGCATTTCCATCTCCGTATGCTCATTGTCACTCGCCATCAAGCTTATTTTACAGGACAATCATTACCATTTTGAGCTAATGCCACTCTGAGAAGCTTTGAGCTGTAGATGGCACAAGAAAAGCCGGTCTTTGTCGCCATAACAAATGGCTTTGCTGTCTTTTGAGAATGGATGGGTTCTTAAAATGAAAACATAGTCCAATTGATTCCCCATGGCAAATGGAACTGCCTTACAGTACAGTGATATTTATATTTATATATTATTTTTTATTTTTTTCTGAGCTACTTTTTCAAATAACTCCGATTTCCCCCAGTAAGTAAAAAAATTACGTTAAAAAATCCACGACAACGATACCCATCTCTGGCCAGAGAGAATGGGTCAACACTGTACATCTACCTGAAGAAAAATCCAAAGCAGAATTTGTATTTTTCCATAGGAAATGTCTACTGAAGGCAAACGAAGGTTGTGACGTCAGAGTCCTCACCACGAATGTCTGTCTCCGCTCAAGACCTCTCTGTCACACTGCCCTGGTCAAGATGGCAAAAGTCAAGTACACACCGCAGCATTCAAACGAGGTCGGTTTAGCAGCAAATGGGGAGGTGGAAAGCTTCTTTTTTTTTGTTTTTTGTTTTTGTCTTGACAAAGTGCTTTTGCGTTCTTACATGTAATATAGAACTTACTATACATTTATAGATATATAATATACTATATATATTTTCTATATATCTTCTAAAAAAAAAGAAGTTACAACACATAATGGACGGTATACAGAATCTTTACTATGCTACTAAAAGCAAAGAAAAATAGCTTTACAAAACTCTTAGTTTAGATTTTAAAGGAAAAAATATTCTCCCTTATTTGATCAAAATGATATTTGAGAAACGACCTTCTCCACAAGCTTCAGCATCAAGAATAAAGTCACTTTTAAAAGGCCTTTAGCAAGCTATTAATAATTCCACCTGGAAGAGATTTTTCAGAAGGAACAAATTCGCAGCAGCTTGAGATTGTGGAGAAAACTGGTCTAGGTCACAACTCAAATAAGAACTTGTATTTTCCATAATGAAAATGAAGCCTAATTTTAGGACTATTTAAGTTTTTATGACATTATTTTCATCACAGTTAAGCACATTTCCTCTTCAATTCTCATTGAAGTCACGTAATCGTGAAGTACAATTGTAAGTATACATCACGGTAATGCGGTTTTGAATGGTTTGAACTACGGTATTGAGAATTTGAGCGTAAAGTGCATTTTTTATAGGCTTCGTTTTATGCAAAATATAATTTATCATTTTTTTTCTTCTTTTCGACGCTTCTCACGACTTTTTATTGTGAGTTTGTTACAGCCGATGATGTATATAGAAGTTATACATAAGATTGTGTTAAATACAGACAATCTATCGTTAAACAATTTGCAAAGGATCATCCGATTTCCCTTAGCAAGATAAGTGCTTTCGAAAACATTTCCGAATTTTCCGAGAGATATCTGTGGGTAGCACAGAAAGGAAATATAAAGGCAATCTCTACAAAAATATACGCAATTCAATTTTTCGTTCAACAATACTCAGAGTAAGAAGTCAAGCGTAGAAATGTTTCATGCCGAGTAACAGTATTTGAGAAGATGGCATCTTAATGTGTGCACGGATTAATGCGTATTCAAACTCTAAACAAGGCAATGACTTGTATAATTTTTGTATATGCACTCTCTTCTCCAACTATAGGAAGAATAGCAAACCTTTTGGTTTTGTGATAATATCTTCTATGGGCAAAATAGAAGCATCTCCATTAACTTTATAGCTCGTCTTTTAAATACGCAACAAAACTTCAGTGGAGGGAAACCGAATGGCGGTACAAATATATATGAGAACCAAAGGAACTGTACAAAATTCGATGAAGATGCAAATGAACGCTTCTTTCTGCAGAGAATTGGACCCAAGCAAATTTCACAGTTCATTAGAAATCCCTGACCCTACCATTTTTTCCTACATTCAATACGGTGTCAGGTAAGCTGTGCAAATTCCTTACTTAGACTGGCTAGTTGCCATTTTAAGTTGCATGTGTCTTTGGTACAAAAAACAAAACAAACAAAATATAGTGTGCAAATATAATTTTTTGTTGTTTTTTATATGTGAATATTTCTTATATTACGACACGGCCCACCCCCCCCATCCCCTCTTAAACGAAGTACCGAAAAAAGTACATTTGCCAGAGCCATCTTATGATACAAAGCACAGACTCTGTGGCATATATCTATATTCTCCATGTTCCTATGTACATTCAGAGTATCTTTAAAGAGCTTCGACTTCTTGCTTTCTGCAAAATGGTCCATTTGCGCTCTCTATTGAGTTTTATTTTTCCTCAACTCCGCGATTGCAAGGCACAATGAATCTTACTTGTATAAAGTACAAATATAAACAAAACCCAGTCTGGGATTCAGTTTTTTAAGCCTCTTTCGCTGAGAATTTGCAAAACAACATCAACGTGATTTGACGTGAGGGCACTTCAACCAAAGTGTAGAAAGGAAAAGATTTCACCAGTGGATAATAATCAATCGATCTGCCTATTTACAATAAGGGATTTAACTGACCATCTGCTCAAGTCAAAGAAAGAAGAAGAAGAAGAAGAAGAAGAAAAAACACACAATCCCCTCTTAAACGAAGTACCGAAAAAAGTACATTTGCCAGAGCCATCTTATGATACAAAGCACAGACTCTGTGGCATATATCTATATTCTCCATGTTCCTATGTACATTCAGAGTATCTTTAAAGAGCTTCGACTTCTTGCTTTCTGCAAAATGGTCCATTTGCGCTCTCTATTGAGTTTTATTTTTCCTCAACTCCGCGATTGCAAGGCACAATGAATCTTACTTGTATAAAGTACAAATATAAACAAAACCCAGTCTGGGATTCAGTTTTTTAAGCCTCTTTCGCTGAGAATTTGCAAAACAACATCAACGTGATTTGACGTGAGGGCACTTCAACCAAAGTGTAGAAAGGAAAAGATTTCACCAGTGGATAATAATCAATCGATCTGCCTATTTACAATAAGGGATTTAACTGACCATCTGCTCAAGTCAAAGAAAGAAGAAGAAGAAGAAGAAGAAGAAGAAAAAACACACACTCTCTCTCTTACCAACCTGAGACGATCGCAAATCTGTGGGAAAGGGCATTTGAGGCCCGCTTCCTCACATGCTATTCTCTTGAAACATCCCTGTTCTACATATATATACACCGAACATCAGTAACTTTGCGTTAAACATCGGTATTCGTGTTCCTTCTCAATTGATCATCAAACAATTGGTTCGAACAGGAATTCTCCTGGACACTTATGCCCTCAGTTGAGAGATTAATAAGTGTATAAATAGGCCTAACAAGGGTGAAATCGTACACGCCATGTTCAAAAACTCGGAAAGTCTGCATTTACACATTTTTGACCGCTAAATCAAAGGATCTAATGCCTTCGTAGTTTCTCTGCAGAGTGTGCCTCTGCTTCCCAAAACTCTCAATGGGCATTTGACAGATTTAGCTGGACGCAAGAGGAAAATGGCTACAGCAAGAACTGGTGCTTCTTTGTTTAGCTCTTTTCTCTCTCTTTTTCTCATTTGGTGGAGGTATCTCATATATTGGCTTTTAATATTTGCAACATGGCAGCCTGTTGATCGATACCAGCCACATGCACACATGGTAGGAAACAGACTACTGAGTGCAAAGGTTAACTACTAGTTTCATTTCCATTGGTGCACACGAGGTGAATATACACATACGAATATACACAACCGCAAGCGGGTATCGTATGCGTGCATTCACTTTAAATGTGAGGATGCGTCTCCAAGTGAAATGGGCATGCAGAGTGTTGGGCCGTTACAGTGTGGGACAAGAATGGCGTGGATGGCTTCGAGGTGCCAGTCGGCATGACTCTACACCTTCGACGTGGGCACACGCAACCCCACCAGCCCTCCGGTGGGATCTCCTTTCCCAGTGCTCTCCAGGATCTGATTCACAAAGTCTGAAGTCTGGCCGGCCACTGGTGGCTGCACTGTATAAACAAAAGAGAACGTATTAAGAAAACCATACAAGGAATTAGTGCTGTTAAACGATTAATTGCGATTAATCGCATCCAAAGTAAACGTTTTTGTTTACGTAATATATGTTTGTGTACTGTGTATATTTTTTATGTAAATGTAAATGCACATACATACAGTATATATTTTGAAAATATTTACATGTATATATTTATATTAATAGAATTAATATTCTATATAAATATATTTAATATATATAAACATAAAATTTTTCTTAAATATGTACATGCATGTGTGTGTATTTATATATATATATATATACATAATAGATATACACAGTGCACAGACATATATTATGTGAACAAATAGTTTTATTTTGGATGTGATTAATCGCGATTAATCGTTTGACAGCACTACAAGTAATACAATAAAACGGTTAGAATTTCCATTAAAGTACAAAAATGTTGCCACATTGGTCATGTGTATACGTTTTTAGACCAGGAACTAAGACTACATAGAGTAGCACAGTAGCCTGCCTTGATCATAAAGGAATAGTTCATCCAAAAAGTGCAAATTCCCACATAAATACTGTGGCAAACCTGCATGACTTTGTTCCTTTGAAGAATGGAGAAATGCTGAAGAATATACAGGCCACACTTTTCAGTTTAGTGAATGTGACTGGAGATCTGGGCTGTCATGTTCCAAAATGACACCAAAATAGCACCATTAAAGCAACATCTTACTCCAAAGGTTGTTCCAAAATTTTAATGGTTCTTTTTGTCGTTTATATGAAGAATGGCTGTCAGGAAATTACTTTAAAAATCACACGTTTCTTGTGTTCTGTGAAAAAGTGTTGTGGGTGAATAAATGACAGAATTTTCATTTTGGCGTGAACTAGCCAAACAATTTACAAAATCAAGTAATAGGACAGACAAGATTACTGGGCTGTTTACTTCCCAGTCTTGTGGGAAAACCTGGCTGAGATCATGAGCTTCCAACATGTTGAAAAAACATTCAAAAATATCATCATATGTTCTTTTAAAGTTGTTTTCGTAGCTTATATAACAGTAGGATCATGTCATGTCATGTGGTGATGCGCTGATTGTGATGTGCTAACAAAAATGTCTTCAATACAACAGAGGTCACAGCATGGAGCGAAACAATGCGAAGGCTCTTAAAATTCTTGAAGACACAAGGATAGCAGCTGCTGGAGAAGATGCAGCAGCTTGATCACGCTTGTAAAGCAAGTAGATTTCTTGCAACTCAGCTTGCTGTTAGTGGTGTGTTTGAGGAGAAACTTGCTCGTACACGATCACACATAATTTGCATTTGCAATGTTAATTCTAAAAGCACTTTTACAAGTGTTAATAATAATCCAATGTAGAACATTTTCTTACCTAAGGTATCCTCAATGAGTTTATCCAGCTTCTCTGTCATGCTTGTTCCTTTGTCATGCGTGATATCCTGTACTCTGCTGACGATCTCTTCTTTGATTGCATTGATCACAAACAGCAAACGATCTGAAAAAGAAGATATTCATATCTTGGTCTCATTCTTGGCATATTTGCATCGGTTATGAGTATGCGCAAAAACTTAACTGATCTAAACACTAGTCTTTCAAAGGTAAGTAAAGTGGTTACACTCAGTCTGGTCAAGACAGAGATATTCTACAATACACAATCTCAAGCACTTCCTTTAATATTTAATTTCCATGTCTAAACAATGTACCATATTCAGTTCCAAGGCCCCATAACTTGACTTTGTTGGCTTCATACTGCGCTTTCTTTTTCAGCCTGCAGGCCCTAAGGAAGAAAAAACACACAAAGAAGAATCAAGTACAGTATTTTGCTAAAAAAAAGTCATTTTGGCGCACTGTATTTCAGCATTTTAAATCACTAACAGCACACAATGTAGCTTAACTAGTAAGGTACTACTTTATAGGATTTTAAGTTTAAGGGAAAACGTTGGGATGTGAGCTTTAAGAAATGAAAGCAGTAGTAGTTCAAGCAATAAGCAATATGGCTTTACCTGGATGCAAGCTTGTTCTTCTCCTTTCGAGACCGAGGCCGAGCGGTTAGGGGTAACTCACTAACCGGCGTCAGGTCACTAATGACTTTATTGAGTTTCCGGAGTTCATTGCCAATCTGAAGCAGCTTTCGAGGGTTTGGAGTAAGATCTTCCACATCCGTCCGCCGTGACTTCTTCATTGTGTATTTTCCTAAACAATCAGACAGACATTAAATGTTAAATATATCAGGCTTAAAGGAAGATTTTAAAATAGCTAGTAAAAGCTACTTCTGTCCATATGAATTTTCTACATTTCATAAAAGCGTTAAATCTTGTAATCTGCTGGAATTATAATCTGTAACATAAACGGAACAGCCCCTTCTTTGTTCATAGATTTTATATATAATGGACAGTGAATGTCTCACCATGGTGCAGGCCATTCTTTTGGTACATGTTGCTGGGAAGCGTGTCTCTGTCCCATTCGGAGGGTTTCAGCATGCGCTCCTGTTTGGATGGGATGAGCTGCTCGCTATACTCCCAAAAGTATCGACGCTTTCCCCTCTTCCTGGAAATTCCAGCCGTCAGGCCTTTGACATCATCACCCATATCAGTGTCACATCCTGTTTAAAGGATAGGATGGTAATGAGGCGATGAAAGAAATGAACAATGATCTTTTCCTATCCTGCATTTTTTTAAAAACACTAAACCATAATAATCTCGTAAATGCACAATCATAATTCTCAGGTCAACCATAACAAGTCACAAGGGCTCTTTCAAGATATTATTAGCGTCACATTTTCAAATCAGGGCAGTTTTCATTAGGGATGCATTGCACACAATACTAAATACGAGTTCTGATACTTCTGTTTTGGTATTTGCTGTTATGTATACTAGTATTTCAGTAACGCTATCATTTTCAAGTACAGTACAGTGAGACTGATGATTATTATTTTCATCAAATATTAACTTAAACCGCAGCATAACGCAATAAGTAAAATTGCAATGTTTACAAACAACTTTTGCAACACTTCCATGTCCTTTAGATCAACCTAAAAAAAAAAACAATTGCAGGCTTCTGACAAACTGACTAGCGAACAAAACACTGCAAGACAAAAAAATGTCCAGTGAGTGGCATTTCTAATTCTTGTTTTTGACAGGTGGAAATTTGGGTCTCTTCAGTTTCCAACAGGATGGGTGGAGGAGGACACACTTAAGAGTTTGACAAATTATCATACTTCAAAGATCCCCATCTAAATGTTTTCTGTCATCTTAACTGCCGTCATTAGGTCTGCACTATTTGACAAATTCAAACCTGAAATTGCAAACTGCTGCAATTAATCATATGCACTAGTCAAAAGAGTTTTACAAAAGTAAAATATGCATAATGCAATTTAATAAATAAATAACTACACGTTTACTTCGCTATCTAAATGGGGTCATTCCATAGACATCAAATATTGTAAACGGAAACTTAAACATGCTTGCATGATGCACAAGAACCAATGAAGTTTACTCTTAAACAATCGAGCAAGTACGGTTAAAATTCAGATTACCATTTTCGATGTGCTCTATGTATGTGAGTTGATCAATGTTTATATGTGAATGAAAGCCTAAATTAAATCTGGTAATCTTATAAAGCGATCCTGTCTCTTCAAAAGATTTGGATTAAATCACACAATCGGTATGCATTACTTTTGCAATGTCTTTTTAAAATGTTTAATAAAATGGAGTGGAATGGACTTTTAATGGATAGATAGAAATCTCTGAGGTTTAATTTAAAATATCTTAATAAAACACGTGAATCAAAATGGTTTTGGAAAAACATGAATTTTCATTTCTGGATGAACCATCTCTTTAAAGGGAAGAATGCAGGTAACCAAGTTTATGGTCCCCATTGTCTAAAATGTCTAAAATTATTAGCTCCATAATGCCACTCCAAGTAAAAAATCACGAAGAGATTCACGCCTTTAAGAACCTATACATGAATTTGCTTTTGGGTGGCATCACAATAACTGATTGTAATTTATGTCATTTTTATGTATAACCAAGTATTGGATAAGATCATCTGTTACTTTCACTTCCCCTTCCCCTTGGTTATCTGCACACAACCTTGCAATGCACTTTCCAAATGCCTAAGTCCTAAAATGAACTGGATTTCCCAATGCTACTCGAGCGCAATGACATTCTAGGAGAATTAATGCTATATATATTCTCTCTTCCTGCTCACTCAGTTGTAGGCCTATTTGTGCTAAATGTACTGTGCACTCGCTTGGTGGCATTGAATCTTGTACCTCCGAAAGTCTGAATATAAAGCACAGCATGTATTGATAGAAGTATCATTATCAATGCATCCCTAGTTTTTATGCATTTGGCTACAACAGCATCAACAAAAACAATTTCACACCTGGCTCTGAGAATGCATCACTAACGTAGTCGTCTTTGTCGCCCTCATAGTCCTCATCATCCTCCTCCTCCTCCTCCTCCTCTTCTTCTTCCTCTTCCTCTTCATTCTCCGAGAGCTCATGTTCACTGCCAAACCCTTCATCATGGTCTTCATCGTCTAGATCCAATCCCTCTGCCTCCTCCTCTTCTTCCTCTTCCTCTTCATTCTCCGAGAGCTCATGTTCACTGCCAAACCCTTCATCATGGTCTTCATCGTCTAGATCCAATCCCTCTGCCTCCTCCTCTTCTTCCTCTTCCTCTTCATTCTCCGAGAGCTCATGTTCACTGCCAAACCCTTCATCATGGTCTTCATCGTCTAGATCCAATCCCTCTGCCTCCTCCTCTTCTTCCTCTTCCTCTTCATTCTCCGAGAGCTCATGTTCACTGCCAAACCCTTCATCATGGTCTTCATCGTCTAGATCCAATCCCTCTGCCTCCTCCTCTTCTTCCTCTTCCTCTTCATTCTCCGAGAGCTCATGTTCACTGCCAAACCCTTCATCATGGTCTTCATCGTCTAGATCCAATCCCTCTGCCTCCTCCTCTTCTTCCTCTTCTTCCTCCTCTTCTTCCTCCTCCTCTTCCATGTCAGCAGTCGCCTTCCCTGCCAGCCTGGCCCTGGTTAAGAATAACGAGTAGTTGTGCTCTTCCTCCTCCTTTTTGTCAGCAGCAGACACGTCGGATCCAAGGGCACTCACGGTGAGCAAGGTTTCACTGCCGGCAGCTGCAGGGAAGTGCAGTTTGTGTGGCACCGTCCTCAGGGTCCCTATTTCTGGACCAGGACAAGTCGGTACCTCTCGTTTAGGAGTCTCCACTCTCTTTTCGCAGCTAATGGAGGATGCCGTGTTAGCAGAGACGACGGCTGGGTCCTCGCTGACCTGCGAAGCTGACGACTCATGCTCCTGGATAAGAGGAGAGGCAGAAACGCTAATTTGGGTGGAGCTCTCTACTATAGGCTTTCGTTGTACGCTGATGCGAACCTTGGCTTTGCGCACGTAATCCATGTTGTCCAGAAGTGCGGGCGAGGCTTTGCTAGAGCCCTGAAGCTGGGCCTTGGCCATTGTGTCAGTGCTGGAGGGAACAGGCCAGGTAGCTTTCTGGGATCCCTCTGGGAAGTCCGGCAGAGGGTTGCGACTCGATGAGGCGCTGGTTGCAGAGCTGCTGAGTTTGTTGGTCTTCTTGGCCCCGTTGGGAGGTGGAAACAAAAGCTGCTTTTGACCCACCAGCAAGTCCGGATGGTAAAGAGTGTCACAAACTGGCTGCGAGTCCTCACTGTTGAGCTGAGCCAGGGTCGGTGTCCGACCTATCACCTCCTCATCCTGGTAAGGGCTGGAAAAGTCATCAAGGCCCAAGAAATCAACTTCCTTGGTGCCCCAGATATCACAACTTGTGAGGCGAGTGTATTTAGTCAAGTCCTCCCAGTATGTGTCCCACTGCTCAAAGTTTGAGCAATAAGCAGGGTCGTTGTCTACCAGCTCAGGTAGATGATCCATGCAGTCCAAGTCTTTGCAGTCTCCGACTGTGAAAATATCTCCTCTAGGGCTCTGGCGACATGTCATGTCCCGATCCTGCAAACATTCAAAAACGTAACTCAACTTTGTACCCATTGTCATTGACATAACCCTGAGTAATCTTGTTCCAACTTTTACACTGTCAAGACTTTACCTTGAGTTTGTAATTAATTCTGGGTTGTCAGGTTTTAAGATTTCACATAGCTCATTTGTAAGCCCTGTGTTAACTTTCTTATTTGCATATTTACGAAGTTAGTAACTTTAATTGGACAAGTACAGTATGTAGCCTGGTTTAATGACTGCTTGTCCATTTGTGGAAATGATGCCACAACTACTTTTGGCTATCTTCTGAAACACTATGCAAAAACAATACTGTCAGTTTGTCACTTTACACATGACCCAATGTGTAATCATTGAATTAAATGAACTAAATGTAATAAAATGCTCAGAGTTTGGGGCCCATTATAGGGGGCATCAGCAAACATCCAAGTGGGCCCCAAGATGACTTGTGTGATTTGATTTGTAGACCTGGAAAAGTCATGCAAATTAATAATTTCATAAAGAATATACATTTTTCTAATTATGATCAGCTCCAAAATATGTTATCAGGCACAAATTGTGTATAATTTACATGGCCACATTACATAGTCATTCCCTCGTTTCAGATAAAGTGTGGTCACCATTTAATTCCCTCATTTTAATTTAGTGAAATTTAGCTACAATTTAACTAAAACAAAGAAACAAATTAGTTAAACATATCTTGTTTTTCAATGTGCATATGTTCTGTAGTGTGAAAAGCCTCTACGTGTGAATAAAACCTGAAAGAGTAATACTGTGTGTATGAACTCACCAGTTCATACATGAAATCTGGGTCAGAACTGTTAGCCAACATGTCTGTGCTGGTCAGTGCCTGGTCAGTAAAAGAGCAGTTTTGATAGGCATCCCCAAAGGGAGTATCCATTCCGCTAATGCTGGGCTGTAAGATGAAAGTAAGAGAAGCATACCATGACAACTATTTCAAAATACCTCAACGGGCACCCAAATTTGAACGGCAGGGCCCATACCAGAGGCATTGCAGAGCACAGATCTTCAGTTCCTTGACGGAAACTTTTCTGCCACCTCCCCTGTCTCAGTCACCCTATCTTTTCGTCAATCTCTGGAGGAAATTAGATTTTAAGCATAAAAAAAAAAAAAAAAAAAAGAGTTCTTGTTTTCAATATGGAGGCTTTAGTAGCACATTTAAGTATGGCTGAGTTGTCCTCCTCACTTGAATGTTGTCTGTGGAAAGAAAACAGAACAGGAGAGCAGTTAGCTAGCACAAACGTTACAATAACACACACTATCTGCACAAACATCGGTGCACAAAACAGGACACTCGGCCTGCGCAGTCCGGTAAAGCAAGTCTATAAACAAAATGTCACTTACAAGCTGTGAACTGGCACAGCCTATGAAACACAGAGGAAACTGCTGTCAAAAACAACTGTGTGCTGACATTAGAACAGCCACAGACAGGTTTGTCTCATAGACATCAACGATTTTTTGCATCTGCAAACATCCGCAGAAAGACTGGGGTTTTCCTAAAAAGGTCCAGCTATGGTCGAAAAAGTTAGGGAGGTTGCCTGAGATCCATGGAGGAACAGAAGGGAGCCCTAAATCGTGTTGGACGGCAATAGTGCAAGAGCATCGAACACTAGGGCTATTTTTAAAACAACATCGGCGGAAACCTTTCCTCTCGACAGACAGACAGCCAGCCATAGGTGGCGAGACCCAAAACGCTGGACACTCTTTGCATAACAAATCAACAGAAATACGTCGGAGCATGTGAGGTTTGTGCTGGCCAGCTTCAGCGCTGAGCAAAACAATCCTGTCTCTCTTGTGCCTGATGACATCATTTCCTCCTTGTGCACCGACAGAGAGTCAAATAAGCGTCTTATCACCCTTTGGCTTTGTGCACGGCAGGGTTTGCATACAGCCCACAGAACCAGAGTGAGAAAAAAAACACACTGAAAACCATTTCCCTTCAGCGCTCCACTATTCTACTGCTTACTCACCAATAGCCTACAAAAAAGATCTCGATTTTTAAACTCTGCAAAGACAATGTGAGTGGTGCCAAACTTTGACTGGTTGTTAGGGCGTTCTGGTTGGGTTTCAGAACATTGCTAAGAGGTATCTAGGATGTTTTGGGTGGTTTCTAAGGAGTTGCTAGGGTAGTTACTTACTGGCCACGCCTCTTCAACAAGCCACACAATTTGAAGTATCATTATTTTCGCTAACCCAAAAGAAGAGTTCACAATTAAAGCAATGTGCAGCGACAAAGTAACCTATAGTCATTAATTTTCAATGAGAGCTCCCAGGTTCCGACCACATGAGCGACATTAACCACTGACAATAGGATGTGGGAGTTTAACTTTTAAATTTAACTTCATGCAAATAAACACCAAATGGTACAAATAGTACCAAATGGAGTAAAGTCAGTAGAGCTGACATCTCCTGCGAGATACGAGAGTTTGATTCAAGCATAAAATAAGCTCTGTGACCAACAAATGTTTATGATTCTTAAAGCTGGAATACACTACATGACTTTTGCCCAGATTTTTGCCCCAATTTACAGTCTGGACAAGTTGACGCTGGTTGTCAAAAGTTTGTCAGTCTGCAGATTTGAATAGACAAGATTTCATAGAAAATTGGATAGTGTATCACGGCCATAGTGTATTATCGTGTAGTGCATTCCAGCCTTTACACGTTGTGTTATTCATGCTAATCATCACAACTGAACACAACAAGTTTTATGAATATTAAAGCCTAAATGCAATCGTCAAACATACAGAAGTTAAACGTAGGATATAAACGAACTACACCACAGTCACATGACTTGAACTTCACCAACATTAAGCTTCAGACAACTCTTTAATACTGTATTTTAAAAAAAACTAAGAGCACCATTAAACACAATAAGTCTGTAAATGTGAACTAGTAAGTAGAGGAGTTTACTGTTGGACTTTTAATGTCCCAGACCTCTGAAGTCCCATTTAGCTTTTTCCAAGACAAATCAACGCTTATAACACCTAAACGTAAAGGGGTCCTATTATGCTTTTTCACTTTTTTAATTTTAGTCAGTGTGTAGTGTGTATGTTTGGGCATAAAAAAGATCTAGAAAGTTACAAATCTCGAAGTCCACTCCAAAGGGAGATATTTCGTTTTTTTTTTAATCCCTTTTCAAGAACTACAACGAACGGCTCGTTTTGGACTACAGCGTTTGTTTTCCGGGCTTTGTGACATCACAAAGCAGCCCATTAGATTATCATTAAAAATAATTCCCGCCTACAGAAATTTGAATGGTTGGGGGGTGGGGAGGGGCGAGGTTGTGGTTAGAACGCTTGGTTGAGTTAGTGCATCAGAGAAAACGAAGAAGAAGAGCTGCTGTGCTGTAGCGTCAAATTTTCGGCATGTCTAGAAAAATTCCTACAAGTACAACACGACGCTGCGCTTCTTGTCCAGTGTGCGACCGCCTGAAAAGCTGTTTTTTTCACCTCCGTGCCCAAACGTCTTTGTTTGGGCTTCCGAAAGCAGATGATGTCAGGAAACAGTGGTTGCAATTTATTTTTTAACTCTGTCCCCGAATTATATCGTATCGACCGAAATTAAGAAATATATCGTGATATAAATTTTGGCCATATCGTCCAGCCCTACTGAAACACCGTCTAAGCTTTCGCCAATCACAACGCACTGGGACAGCTAACCAATCACAACACATTTTGTTTTTCGGAAGGCTGGACCTTCATCAAACCCTGAACTAATCGAGCCGTTTATGCCAGGATGGGGAGAAAGGTATTTTAATTATGTAAATTATGTGAAAAATAATGCGTTTTTCGAACCACCAAGCTTGAGAGCATGTTCTAGTACACCCCCAAAACAAAATCAAGACTTTGTAAAAGAGCATAATAGGACCCCTTTAAACTATTAACAAAACGCTGTTTTGTTTATGTTGCAGAATAAAACACTAAAATATCTCGAGTTTGTGTTAGAGACATTATTTCAGGCATTTACCAAAAAAACAATTAAAAAAATCAATTTCAGGATGAACATTCCGTTCAGGACAATGTAACCATAGGTGGAAAATTTCTAACTTATTTCTGAGGTTTGGCAAACAAAAAAAACATCATCCCAGAAGCTCTTTACAGCTTTGGGGTGGAAGAAGGATAGGATTATGTGGGGGAATCGAATCTTTGGATTGGTGTATTCCAGGAATAGGAATGTAGGAACGTAAACACAGCGAAAGGTACAGTGAACTGACAGGTTCTAGCGACAAACCTGTGAACAGTGTGGACATAAGTATGAGCAATAATACTACTGATTTGCATTGAGCACTCTTACAACAACCAACATGTAGGCTACATCGGTCAAAACTGGGGCTGGGCTGTTAAATGGACATTATGGGGCAATTCTGTCTGGAATTGTGATCAGACATCTGCATTTGGAAACCTAATTGAAAACTGTATGAGCAATGCTGCCAAAATATATATATCCACCTGTTGTGATAACTCATCTCAGCACGATCGCTATAAGGAGGGCAATGTGGAGGAACGTCTACCCAGCAGACCTACATTCACATTACAGTATCACTGAAGAGATCAGGATTTACACGTCATTTACCAATATTAATTTTGATATGCTAGCCTACAAAGGACAAATAGCAACACGTTTGATGATGTGAAAATACAGAAGGACAGATGGAGCAGAGAGAAAGAGAAACAGAGCAGCTGATACTGATTATCTTGTGTAGTAAACAAGCATTGTTCTCATGAATACAAGTCCCTGAGCGGCTGAAATGAAAGATCTCTCAATAGGATCTGGGAATAACAGACTATAGATCAGAGGAAACATGATACCAGTGCTTTTGAAATGATGGTTTTGCACTGTATACCCTTGCTGGAAAATCCCATTTCAAAATGGCAACTGATGGAGTATTAGGTTAGCCAATCAAATCCCAGTTTGATTTGGCAAAGTTTCACCTCAGTAGGGAATATCACAAAATCAAAAATATTTTATTAGCATTGATTTGGTTAGAAAAGAGGATGATTTCCATTACTGTAATATATATATATATATATACACACACACACACATACATATATATATATAAATACATACATACACACAATTATATATTGCACACTATCGTTCCTAAGTTTGGGGTCGTTAAAGGTATAGTTCACGCAAAAATTAAAATTACCCCACAACTGACTTACCCTCCTCAAGCCATCCTTGGTGTATATGACTTTCTTCTTTCAGACAAATACAATCAGAGTTTTTAAAAAAAAAAATGTACTGAAAGAAAAAAATTATTTATTTTATTAAAAAAAATATCCTGGCTCTTCCAAGCTTTATAATGGCAGATTTTTAAGCCCAAAAAAGTGCATCCATCCATCATAAAAAGTACTCCACACGGCTCCGGGGTGTTAATAAAGGCCTTCTGAAGCAAAACGATGCACTTTTTTGGGCTTCAAAATCTCAACCCCCACTGTCATCATAAAGCTTGGAAGAGCCAGGATATTTTGGGGCTTTTAACATTGACCTCAGATATGTGACCCTGCCTGTGAAAACTGTGATTTTTCTACATAAAATCATTCTTTGTAAAGATGTAGAACATTCTGTGAAAACATAATCTTTGTATCTTTAATATTGACTGAGTAAGGCCATGTCAAATATTGAAATCATGGTGAAATTAATGGTTGAAATCAAACTTTGATGTTTGTTATCTCATAATTAGATGTTGAGACTTTAGCCTGGATTTCACAGAGAGGGTCACATACAGTGGTGTGAAAAAGTGTTGGTCCCCTTCCTGATTTCTTATTTTTTTGCATGTTTGTCACATTTTAATGTTTCAGATCATCAAACAAATTGAAATATTAGTCAAAGATAACACAAGTAAACACAACATGCAGTTTTTAAATGAAGGTTTTTATTATTAAGGGAAAACTAAATCCAAAACTACATGGCCCTGTGTGAAGAAGTGTTTGCCCCCCTGTTAAAACTGTGGTTTATCACACCTGAGTTCAGTTTCTCTAGCCACACCCAGGCCTGATTACTGCCACACCTGTTCGCAATCAAGAAATCTCTTAAATAGGACCTGCCTAACAAAGTGAAGTAGACCAAAAGATCCTCAAAAGCTAGAAATCATGCCGAGATCCAAAGAAATTCAGAAACAAATGAGAAAGAAAGTAATTGAGATCTATCAGTCTGGAAAAGGTTATAAAGAAACACTTTTTCACACAGGG